AGGGAAGGAGAGAGGGATGTGGTGAAGGAGGAGGGGAGGAAGAGGGAGGGAGAGAGGGGGGAGAGTTATTATAATTCATATTGTACAAATTTAAATTTAAAATATGTATTATTATATGAATATTAGCGATTAATTCCTTTTCTTAATTTGTTTTAATTAGTAAATTATTAATTTCTACGTAAAAACTTCTGTAGTTTGGTACGAAGAGGTTTGATAATAATTATAGAGCCTGATAAATTTATTCAGCTATATAAATAACTTTAAAATTTATATTCATCTTATTACCAGATAGAGAATATAAAAACATAAATTTTATACAAATGAAAGACTTTACATAATTATATATTACTCGTATTGTTAAATTTAATGATGATCTAATAATTTAAACTTAAAATGTGAAAAAGACTTAAATGAGATATTAATTACGTTTTACAAAAATTACAATTCATAATTATACATCAAGCTAGTGATTAAAAAATTTCTGTCTTTCTTTTTTCGCTTCCTTCTGCAATTAATAAATTAATTTCTATGTGAAAAAATCAGGTTGCTAAACTTTTAAAATTGCAAAGTTTATAGATACGAGGTTGTAAGCTCTTTTTTAACAACATTTATTTCTAATATGGCTATTGCCTATGTACAGTTACACATTGGCATGATCTATGCAACGCAAAAACACAACGAATTCCTACAAACTACGTGCGCGATTTTTAACAATAATAAGGTCCTCACAGGTGATCCGTGTGAATATCACCGCAGGGTATGATCATGTCGACGTATAAATCATTCGCATTGCCGTTCCCGCTTATGGAAGTATAGAAATCCTATCAATCAGGTGTTTCAGATATGTGCATTCATATACTATATATATATATTTATATCGTAAACTCATTCAAAGTGACGGGTTCGTATACTTGAAGGCTGAGCGATTCAACCGAAAGTTATATCATCTGCAAACGATGCTTGAGTAGCGCATGCTACAATCAGCTCGACAGACTGGTAGGATTATAATTCGAGGATCTGAATTCCAAATCATACCACTCAGAGAAAAAAGTCGTATCAGTAACTATAAATTTGTAGTGAAATAGCATCTCAACTCTATATATATATATATATAATTAAATTCTAATAAGAATACTGGATTAAAAGAACTAAGAAAATATAGTAACATCATTAACCATATAATCAATTAATATTACTATATATTTTCTTAGTTCTCTTAATTTACTTATTGTTCTTATTAAAACTTTCTAATATATAGTCACAAATTTTTGTATGCATTTCTTATTTATTTTTGTCTTCCAAGTTCGAAATCAACGTTGCGCCTTTTATTGTAAGCTGAGTGGTTTTTTTCTTAGAAGAAACTGAACTCCTCTACGTCCCTCTGATGACAATGACTAGAGGTTTGTTCGCGTCGCATACTTCAACATGTTCCAATATGCTCCTACCAGTTCTTACTCATGTTGGAGCATGCGACGCGAACAAATCTTAAGTTTCCGCCGAGGATTATAGTTGGGTCAGAGTATAAGAACTGACCAATCACAGTCGAGTATTCCCCTGTTACAGTCGAACGATAGGAGAATGCTCGACTGTGGTTAAGCAGCATGAGCAGTTCTTGTACTCTGACCCAACTCTAATCCTCGGTGGAAACTTAAGGTTTGTTCGCGCCGCATGCTCCAACATTTTCCAATATGCTCCTACCATAGTTCTTACTCACTTCAACGCGCTTGATAGAGTAAGTAGGAGCATGTTGGAGCATGTTGGAGCATGCGACGCGAACAAACCTTAAGTTTCCACCGAGGATTATAGTTGGGTCAGAGTACAAGAACTGATCAATCTCACAGTCGAGTATTCCCCTGTTACAGTCGAATGATAGGAGAATGCTCGACTGTGGTTGAGCAGCATGGTCAGTTCTTGTACTGTGACCCAACTCTAACCCTCGGTGGAAACTTAAGGTTTGTTCGCGTTGCATGCTCCAACATTTTCCAATATGCTCCTACCATAGTTCTTACTCACTTCAACGCGCTTGATAGAGTAAGTAGGAGCATGTTGGAGCATGTTGGAGCATGCGACGCGAACAAACCTTAAGTTTCCACCGAGGATTATAGTTGGGTCAGAGTACAAGAACTGACCAATCTCACAGTCGAGTATTCCCCTGTTACATTCGAATGATAGGAGAATGCTCGACTGTGGTTGAGCAGCATGGTCAGTTCTTGTACTCTGACCCAACTCTAACCCTCGGTGGAAACTTAAGGTTTGTTCGCGTCGTAAGCTTCAACATGCTCCAACATGCTCCTACCATAGTTCTTACTCACTTCAACGCGCTTGATAGAGTGAGTAGTAGGAGCTATGGTAGGAGCATGTTGGAGCATGTTGAAGCTTACGACGCGAACAAACCTTTAGTCAATACTACTCGTGCTGTGAGCGATTTTAGAGAAAAAGTTTTTAATGTATTCCTTAAAGTTATCTCAACAATGATTAATTAGTTACTATGATATAGAGTGCTTTATTTAAAAAAAGTTTTTGTCTAAACTAGAAAAATGTAATTGTTATATCTATTTGCATGAAGTTCAAATAACTACTCAATGTAGTTGAATCACTATTTCACTGCCAATTAATAGTACATACAATATTGTTACCGTGACTATATTTTTGTAACATTCAGCACTACTTCAGTTTCTATTACTTTGTAAAACTAGTTACAGGTACTTCAATTGCAAAAGTTGCCAAATTCATAGTTGCCAGAATTATTTCGTTTTCTCTCAGTGACCGAATCTCAAAAATGCCATTCAACGAATATTATGACTAATAAATCGTAAAATCTCGCAAAAGCAAGAGAAGCTTTGTCCGCTTTTCTCTCTCTTCCCAATTTACTTTCCATCTTTCGTTTCCGGCCTTTCTCAAAATATGTCTTTCGATTGATTACAAGACAGATCATTATTTTATAGCATGATTTAGAATTCAGATGTTTTTCCACGGTGTAAAACACATTTGGCTCTTCGAGAACCTCAAATTATTGTCGTCCTTTCTAAATTAAGCAGTGTCAACGAACATACGACACGCAACGTATATTTGTCTGAAAGTTTACCCTAGGAAGCATCTATCGCGCAAAAGATACATATCTATCTGGAAGCAACAACGTAGTTTATTCCGCAAATATATACACATACTGGATCCTTTGCGCCTTTTAACTCACGGTGTTTTCAATCTTTATGTGTGACATTTTCTTAGAATTCTTAAAATCCTTAGCACCAAAAGTTGCACTGAGAAAAATGTCTGGTTGGATTAAAAATGGACGAATCAGAATTTTCTTAAATCTACTAGAATTCTAGTTGAGCTAATTGGAATTCTAATTGATGTAATCAGAGTTTTCTAATTCGTCTATTTTCAATCAGATATTTTTCTCAGTGTGCGAAACCTGAAATCCCGCTTCTTTCCAACGTGGCGTCTCGCAATGGCTGAAGTTCGGCGATTTTTTCCAGATTGGAAATCGAAAATAACGCACAAAGTTTTTACGATAAATAATTATTGCTTGAAGCTGTCGCGCAAAATCGTTCGGCCCGTACTTGACTTTAATACAATGTATTATACAATCGCTGTATATTTACATGAAAATCTACGATGTTCCTGCTTAAAGAGTTCGATAGAATCGCACAAAAGAAAATCGACGTAATCAGTTTTGATGTTTACAGTATCAGATTTTTGTATATATGTATATCTTTAAATATCTTTAAATAAGTTTTATCATTCACTATTTTATTTTCACTGTGAAAAAATGATCCATTCGTCGATCTAAATTTCAGATTGCATTCTCAATTGATAAGATACAAGATTTCTTCTACATTTCTATTACGTATATTTTTGATATAAATATACAAGAATATTTTTTTCCTCGGATAGAACTAAGTCCGATTCTTGTATTAACGTCGAAACGTAACTTGGTTGAATTGACAGATCGATAGAAAAACGTTAAATGTGCGGATAAATATTTGATGGTTTAACTGAGAAACCTAGACTGAAACGACAGTCTGTATTGAAGTTACATAGAGTTCTCCTGAATTATGATATCGTTCTAAACTTAGGAAAGAGAATGCATCCTACATAAACTTCAAATCAGTTTCTGTCGTCTCTTACTGGCTTCTTCAAGCAGAGATACTATGAAAGAATCGCCTTTCCGATCCAATATGGCCTCTTATAAAAATAGTGTCGGAGACAGGAAGCGCGAATCAATGATATAATCGAATGTTCGAAAACTGAAATCCTGATTCTCAGAGATTAGTTTTCGAATGATATTCGTTTGTATCTTCTATTCGCTTTCTTCCCACGTCGAAGAGCGTGGGACGAAGTTCCCAGTTCCAATTTTGCGCTCGAAGAATCTCGTACGCAAGATCTGCTTTTAATTACTTTACACAAAGACATTGATTTCTAATGGCATCTATTATCGAGCTACGCACCTGTCCTCTTAGGCAATTTATTTGTAATTTTTCACTAACGTCGCCCAATTTACTGATCTTCGTCAGTCGGATAAGCGTCAGTCGGATTAATGGAAGATAACAAACTCCGTTTTCATTAAAAGATGTCCTCAACATCGGTGTAATTACGGTCCCAATATCCGCCCAGATATATCCAATCTTCTTGGCCTGTGTAAGGACTTATACCAGATTGGAACCACCTACACATTTAATTTTTCCAAATGAGTGAAGAGGACCACATTCGGTCAAAGCGGGTCTTAATAATATTTGTGTGAATTTTTACAATTTCTAGTTCAAATAAAATTGTAAGATCCATTAAATATTATAATATATAATAATGTATAATAATAATATAGAATATAGAATTTTATATAATATATACAATTTTACTTACATCAATTCAATTTTTTAAAAGCTATAAATTAATATTATAAATAGCTAATTAAATATTTAGTAATTAGATACTGAAAAAAGATTATTTATTATATTTCCAACAATTTCAATTTCGAGTATTATGCAAATTGTAGGATCTGTCAAAATTTTAATTTTTTAAATTTTTTAATTGAGCTTTTGATATCTTAAATATGCTAAAATAAAATGCGTAATTATACCTGGGAGCGTATTCGTTTCCTTTCTTCTGCTTGCGCGCTTTGCGGTTATTCCTCTGTTTTTCCTCCAGCCTAGCTTTCTCAGATGCAGCCCCATCCTGATCGCCGTTCTCCAGCTTGCGAATATCCGGTCTCAATCTAGAGTCGGTCGGACATAGGATTTCTCCCATATCAGGTTCCAATTCGTTCAATGACATCGCGAATGTGGTAAACTGATAATACTGCAAAATATGCATCATGTCAAATAAATCGATACATCTTTGAAGTAAATTATTTTTATCAAATTGGTAGACAGAAATCTGTTGTAAGAGAAAGAATAGACAATAATTTAACACTAGAAGGACCGAGGTAGCCAATTTGGCTCCTCGCGAACTAATACTTCTCAAACTAATATAACTTTTTTATAATATGATAATGCTTTTTGTAATAAAATAAATTAATAAAATTAGTGATACTATTGTTAAAACGTTCATTATAATTATCTGTTTCATTTCTTTCCATTTGTTGTTTACGAAGAAAATGTGTTTGGAGCCAAATTGGCTCTTTATACGGGGATAGTCCTTTTAGAGGGATAGTCAAATCTGATTCTTTTAGTGTTAAGAAGTATTATACTACAATAAAATAATTCGTTATTTTATAAAAACTTATAAATAATTATGTTGTTAAAACATATATTTTAGAATTTAAATAAAATTTTGTAAAAAATTAATTGACGTGTTTGATTAATTTGTCCAAATGTCATTTCAACTAACATCCGAACTATTGCTGGGCCTCGGTGTAGCTTCCCACAGTGTGACAGATCCTGGAATCTCGTCCACAATCGGAATATCGTCAACGACCGTACTGCCAAAGGGCTCTTCTATCGCATCCTTTTTATTAGAAAAATATATACAGGAGTTTCAGTAATGAATACATTTTGGAAAAACAGATTAATTTGTTCAGCAAAAATTGTTTTATATAACAACTATATTAAATTATAATAATGCAGTGCTTGGCTATATCTTTACCCGCACAGCACCTTTCATTACAAATATATCTTAAATACGTATCTATATTGCATTTACATTGCATTTCATTTCATATCAAATATAATGTATTAAATACGTAATTAATGCAATGGATATAAAATATCCAAGTCGAAATATTATACATACTTAATACGTATGTAACATATAGCAGATATATTGTGCATATTTAAATGTATGGATATTAAACACGTAGTTGATACAGATATAACAGAAGGCTGAATGTAATAATACGTCATAAGATGGCGTACTGTAGTAGCACCACACAACATTAAAAAAATTATAAACGGATAGTTTTGAGCAAGTGTCTGTGTGCGTGGTTATTATAATCAACTGTATCTAAGAATAACAAATTTAACAATATTAAAGTATCATATTAGACTGCGATGTGAACACACAACAATCAAGAAATAGAAACTTATTATTTCAGTCAAGCTTAAATTTTTAGTGCTGATCGAAACAATTAGTGTGAAAAATTTAGGTTAAAAAGTAAAAAATAATTTAAATTGAATAGTAAGTTCCCTGACGGAAAAAATGTCAACAAAAAGGTACAGAAAAACTACATAGATTGAGACAAGATTTTAGAAATTCTTAATTTATCCTAGATATTTGTAGTAGGATTTGTAGAGTGAAGTTTGTTTGTCTTAGAAATTCTTAGTTTTTCGTAGATATTCGTAGTGGGACATACAATGTCGTGATTAATTTCACTTTTTGAATCTTAAAATTTTAGAGCCAAAGTATCAATCAAGTTGGCATTAAAATTTTTTTAAATTCAAAAATAGAATTACCCACTTTGTAATCCCACCTGTAAATCGCTTATACAGAGTGTCCAAAAAGTCATTCAGGTCATGATCCTGAACAACATTCAAGAGGTTTTAGCCGTCGGTCGGACACCTTAAGTAATGTTAATGTCGGCGATACTGTAACTTTCAAACATCATAACTCGAAAAGTACTTCATGAAAAAATATTTCATTATAGTGTTTTGGAAAGCTCTCGAGATGTGCTATAAGAATATGTAATGAAAAATGGGATGTTCCGTTTAAAAAAATTGATATGACCTTGACCTGACCTTGGCGACGCCACCCAAAGTCAAACGAATGTGATCAATAAATAGATCTTTTTGAACCCTATAACTTTTGTCTGAAACACTTTTCTGTAATACTTATACTTTTCATGATATTCAGGTGTCCCGGAACTTTTTGGACACTCTGTATAATATATATACATAATACATTTTGAGCGCGTATTTGCAATATTAGGAATACGTATCAAATACATAATTTACGTATTTAATACGGAAAGAATATATATTGTCATATGTATTTGATATGTAATGTAAATTACGTATCTATAGGAAATTCATTGGTATTAAATACGTATCTGATACATAATTTATACGTAATTCTACGAATTTGCTATATAGCTATAACACTGCAAATTTTATGTATTTGATATGTAAGTAAATTACATGTCTAGGCGGACATTTATTGGTATTAAACATGTATCTGGTATATGATTCATACGTATTATTATGTATCTGCTAAAATATAGCAACATTTCAAATTTCATGTATCTGCTACGTATTTGAAATCTAAAATGCTGTGGATATGTATTGACTGAATTAATTAAAATTAAAAATTACAAAAAAACTTTCGATTTTCATCCAAGACAATTTTTATCTATTTTAAAATTAAAAAAAAAAAGCATTTATTAATAATTAACTTCCCTATGAATTAAATTCCCTGAATGAATTAATCTAATTGAATTATTTTATACCTGATGCAAGGGCTTGAAAGCTCCAACTTTGAGACTGTGGAGCTTTGCCAAAACTTTCTTGTGTCCCGGACTGCCTTGTGGGCTTTTGGCCTCTAATTTGATCTTCTCTAGCGTTTCCTCATACAATGAGGGCTCGCACGATCGTAAAATTTCGGTCCATTGACCGTAAAGGAAGAGTAATTTTCTTTTCCTAAAAGAATATAAAGAAACAATAACAAACTGCTAATAATAATGGTAAACTGCTTTGCTTTATTCCAATTTAAAGTTGAATAAAACTTGTTATACAAATGAAACTTTTCCTCTTTTATGCTCCATTTCTGCCTTGTTGATCTAATTAATTTAATTAAAACTTACTCTTGATTCGTTATGAATCCCTCGACGCGATGGATGTCCTTGCCGTTCAAGGTGCTTTTTACAAAGCATAGCTTAGCTTTTAAATTATCACCTCCGTGCTGTCTGATCTCCAAAGGGCCTGACTGCTCCATCCATAATTGGCCTACCAAGACATTGTGAAGGATGCAATTGACGTTTTGCCAAGTGTAGGACTCCTTCCATCTATTCAAGCACAACCATTAACACATCGAGTATCTTTTAAAAAAATTCAAAGTTCTAATCGATAAAGTTTTCTCAATATTGTTTTAATTTTTAATAATAACACACTATTTTTCATCTACGAAAAATCGATATATTTATGAAAATAGAGACGAAATCTAAAAGTATAATCCCCATTCCATGAGATCAAGTTATTTACGTTTTTTATACCTCTGAAATTTAGAGGAAGTCATTTTGACAAAAGAGGAAAGATAATAAGTAACATTAATTATATAAAATAAATACAAATTACTACATAAATTAGTTTATTATAATTATTATTTTGAACTTACTTGGGTAATTCGACCGTGACAATTCCTTTCGGGTGTACCTCTAGTGATTTCCCCCAGAATTTCAATTTAGGATGGATGCTGCCATGAAAGATGAAATCCTCACTGTCAGCGTAGAACGCGGACACTGGTGGATGATGCGAAACCTGCTCGCATATTATCCTGAAGAAGGTTCGAAGAAGAAATGACTTTCAATATGCAAGAAATGGCAAATTGGCAGTAAAATAATATTAAACAAATCAATTTTAATTAGAAATTAAATTGACGAATTATAAATACGATCTGTAAAACGATTAATTACCGGAAATCTTCGCGTTGCAACTCGTATGTCTCGCCCAAAATAGGATTGAAAGGTTTTCCAAAGCGCTCCCAGTTCGAAGCGAGGGCACTCACAGCGAAAGCTGCGACGTACTGCGTAATCATTAATTTCGTTTTATTAATAGTGCAGGATTATTGATTTATTATCCCGATTAAATTTAAAGGCAATTCCTCGCGCACCTGAAGCCTTAAGACTGGCGACTCTTGCTGGGATGCCTGCTTGAGCAATACGGCATACTCCATATATTCCGCGACGCGTTGCAAGAAAGAGAGGGGCTCGTTAAAGATGACCGGCATGCTGGTCTTGCTGATGTCTTTGCCCAGCTGGAGCGTCATTGAGCACAGATTTACTTCGGAATGACCCAGAACTGGTAATGATGTTCTTGAAAAGAGCAAAACGCGCTTTGATAAAAAATGAACAGATTTTTTCAGGAAGTAAGTAACCTGATTTTTTTTTAGATTTGTAAATAACCGTCTATATAGGGTGTTTTTATATTCTAATTGAAATCACTATTATTAATAATACATTGCATATAATTGTTTTCTGATTTACTGGCATTTGAGAACATTATGGTTATGGATATTACTCACAATTTTTTGAAAAAAAAATAAGTACGGAGAAACAAACAAATATTAAATAGTATAATAATAATGTTAAAAAATGAAGATTTTAATTAATATAACGTCTTTTTATTATGGGTTTTCAATAAAATTACATCTTTAAATAACCTTAAAGAATAGTTATTAAAAAAGAAAAACAATATGACTAAAAGAGGAAACAATGTTCATTTTACGAAAATTCACATTTTTTTATTGGAATATAAAAATTGCAGAGATATAAAAAGACTATTCCCGAGGGTTAAAGATGGTGTAGTAGTTTTCTTATATAAATTTTAAAGAAACGATAAATGGTGAATTCTTAAATCTCTACATCTTTGAATATTTGTAGCTTTCAATGCGACTGAAAATTCGAGGCTTCGAGCAATATTTAGAGATTCGTAAATTTAAACATGTCGGAATTCATTGCCAACCTGTAACGACCTGATATCCTTTCGTTGGCCATTGTAAGACTCTCTCGTGGTTATTGAGCGTCCCGACGATGGCAGGAGCTTTCAATCTGTCGTTCTTGCAAGTCGATACTTCGATTTTCACCAACATTGACCAGTGATTATGAAGCTTTATAATTTATTACTGGATGTGTAAAAACTATTCAACAAGTCAAATTATTTAACAATTTTTCACTGAAAAATTTAACAGAAATTTCATAAATCCCATCAAAATTCTTCTAAATTCATAAACAGATAATTGGTAACTTAACGGAATCATGGCGCAGGTTTTTAGATCATCACAGATATTTACAATCTCCGATGTTCATTCAGAAAATCAAAGTTTTATGTAAAATTTATCTGTTAAATGTTAGATATTTGAAGATATTAATTTTAGATTCTAATTTAAAATTCTCTAAATTTGACAGTCGAATTATTTAGAAGTTAGAGTGAGAGCCGGAATTATCAGAAAGAGTTTGGTGTATTTAAACTCCTTTGGAAAAAAATATATATATAATCTAAAATATTTAATTAAATTCTTCGGAAAATCTATTTTTATTCGCCAAGAGAGGTATTTCACACAGTTCTATATTTGGAGTCGTGAATAGTGTGGGTGAATCTTTGGATGTTCACAAACTCGGGGACCTTTCGATCTTCCGTGGTGGAACAAGAAAAGGGGAGATGGGGATGCGGTATCTAAATGGACCGTCCGGTTCTCCAGAGAGAAAAAGCTTTGTCTCGCTATCTCGGCGACATTCCGACAGTTATTCCGATTAACTTGGAAGCCACAGATAGTAACACTCGCGGAGGATTCTTGCGGTTCGGCACTCGCTGTCACTCGATCATGGCGGTCGGGAATTTCGGGAGAAGATCGTTGAGACCGGAAACTACGACGCGGATGTTTCAGCTTCGTCTCGCGATCAGCTGTATACTTGAAGACTGTTGAGCCCACGGGCGTGACGGCGAGCTCCCCCTTTGCTTTTGGAGCAAATATCAATAAATCCGAGCATGACCGTTGAGCACTCGAGGATTTCCGTTGGAACGACCGACGGATTCGTTCCTAAGAAACGACAACCGGGTTAAATTCGCAAACTTAAAAAGATATCGACTTCCTCAAAATAATTAATGCCTTAACTGTCGATAAAGTTTAAATGTATAATTCATTTTCAATTTTTAAAATATAATCTTGCAATTTTTTTTCTCCAAATAAAACGACAAATTGATAATTTAATTCTTCTTGGGCATTTTGATAATTTAGAAATAATATAAATTACATAATAATATAAATTACATAATAAAATAAATAAAAACCATCTTTAAATTTTCAAAATTTAATTAAGGAATTATTGTAGAGGAAACTAATTATTAATAAATGTTCTTTTAAAAAATATCTTATTTTAAACTGGATAAGAAATTGTCTTAGATGAAGAGCAAACAATTCTTTTGCGATTTTATTCTAGTATTATAACTCCTTCAATTTTAATTAATTCAATTAATATGTAATGCCAAGAACTGTATCAGTATGATTTAACTATAGCTATATATACACACAAAATCAATAAATGCGGAGGTGGAAGGGCAAAGTTTCAACAATGTGAACGAACACGTTAAACACCCACGATTGAGGAAGACGGTAGCATCACGCAATCAAGCGGCCTGCGTGGAAAATACGGGATGAATTTAATTAACGCATACCTCGTATGTATGTACTGTCGAGACTGTCGAGACCACAATCCTCATCGCGTGCAACCCATCTGATAAAATTGGCGCAAGACACGAAGCATTCACTAAAAGGACCATTGAGAATGCAAAGATCTTAACTGATAAGAGATACGTTTTTCGTCGGACTATTTCTGAAATCTGAAACTACATTTTCACGTTTATCAATTTTTCTTGTTTAAATTGTAGTGCTTTGTCAAATTAATCCTCGATTGTTAAATTCATTTAAATTCACACTTTGTTCTTTTTTCAGAATTTTTACCTCAAAATTCATAGAACAATGAATCAGATCTCTATGTGCAAATTTTTTTTAGTGATATAAAATTTAAATTCTTGTTATCCATTTCTTATTATTGGTCCAATTTCTGCATTTTTTTTTAACTTTAATCATAAAAATATGGATTCTCGATCGTTTAGTGATCGATAATGGCATTCAGCAGGGGATTATTTTCTATCATCGGATTGTGGTATTTTACAAGTCGCTCTCGTTTTTACTATTCTGAAGAGTTCAGTGCTCCATGAGCGTGCATCGTTGGCGACTCGGAATAAGAATAAGCCGAATCTATTGATTCACCTGGAAACCAAATCGATATCCGTACGAGGTACAAGCACTCACTTCGTTACGAATCGGCCAATTTTTCTCGAATCGTTCGTTGAGTCCGTCGTCCGTTCGACAAATCTGCTAAATTCTGCCTCGAAAATCATTATTTTTGCTGAAAAACGATTACGATTTTAAAAAGATTGTAATTTTATAGAGTCTTCTATGAGTGGGAAAGTGCAAAGAAAAAATATAGCATTACGAAACATTGCATTTGTTAAACCAACAAAGCTTAGTTTAATGACGAATAAATGTAATAAAAACCAAATTAATTTGGAGAAATTTTTCAGTCCAAAAAGTGCTTGAAAATATTTTTTATTCACGTAATAGAACTGAGGTTAAATTTTGAATTGTTCTAAAAAGTGACAGAAAGTTAACGTCTCTCAAATTTCGAAAATGAATAAAAAAGACGATTCGTTATTGGAGAACTTGAAAATTTCTGGAGGCCCTCAAGAGCTTAAGGATTCTTCAAAAGAGGCGGAAGAGAAACCTGTGTTTCGCAAGTACCGCACGAAGCATATGAAGCAATTTCCGGAATTATATCGAAGCGATGTCTCAATTCATCCTAGCTATACCGGCTTGAAAATCTTGCCTTAGTAAGAATTAATTCTTAATCGATCAATTAACGGAAATTAATTAGATATAAATAAAAGAAAATAATTTTTTTTATATCAAAGTTTGTTATATCTGTTATAAAGCATTAATTTTATTAATTTTTCATTATACTCGCATGAAATGTCCAGTACATCTCCGCCTTATAAATTTGCTAAACATGCGTGTGAATATTATTTATACATTATTATATATTTAACGTAAATTGTTTCACAATTAAAAAAATGTCTGTATTTCTTTTTATCCAAAAGATATAGAAGATTATCAATCTTTATTTAATTGAAAATCATCAAAGAGAACAATAAAAATAGAGATATATAATGTTAAAAAGTATCAGAAACACTCCATGCAAATTAAAAAAAAAATACACGAGTAATGTAGGGATTAAATGAGACATTCTGAAAAAGTTCACACCGAGACTTTAAAGGTCACTATAGCTTTTTATAAAACTTGTATAATTTTATATTGTTTACGATATATTTCATAATTAATTACACAATTAATTGTATTTTTTAAGCCAAGTGGTCTGCAGGCAACGCGTGCAAAGGATTAAGCGACAATCATTTCGGCAACTGAATCGTGAGATCGCGCATTTCGCTATGGTCCAAATGTTTGCTCTCGATGGTGTGAGGATCGATCGCGTCTTTAGCATTGGCATGTCGCCGAAGACGTTAATCGTCCCAGACCCTTTAACAGAGAAAGAGAGACGCCGACTGAACGAGCTTATCGAAGATCCTTAAGAAATCCTTCGGATAATTTCTGTGGGAATAGATTGTTTCATGTCTTACTTAATTATTATTCAATTATCTCTGCTATTAATTTCGTAATTAATATCAATCTGTTTAATTATCTATTTAATTACCTTTTGTAATTATATATATGTATTAATAAATTTCTAATTACTCTTGTAATTATTACTGATATATATATATATATACATATATAATTTGAATATTTTGCGTTTTTAACTACTAAAAATGTTTTATATTATAATTATAACAAAACATATTCACTCTTTGCGGATTGCGATGACTCCATTTGGAATCACCTCGCCTTTTATTTTATAAACTGTTCGTTTGATTTTTATAAAACCTGGCCTACGGGGTAATTTGATAATGCTTTATTCGAATTTGAAGTCAAAAATAAAAAATTCAAAATAATATTTAAAAACAAAATTAAAAGAAGTTATTTATCGTAAAATTCGATTTTAGAAATTTAATCGGGAAGCAACATCAAATATGTAGTTTTACTTTTTATTTGGAGTTCATCAATAATGAACAAACAGTTAGTATTGATTTCCAAATTGACTTTCAAATTCTGATTGTGAACCCTGCGACACTAGTTCCTTCTTTATTGGAGATTATTACTCTTTTGAAATTTGGCATTTTTAGGCTACATTCAAATTCACAATTCAGCAACCCCAAAACTTTCCATTACTTTAAAAGCGTTTTTAATTATATAATTTTGTTCCAAAGAGACAGGACGTTGGCAATTAATGTGGAAATTCGAGAAACAAAGGAAAGAATCCAATTTGATATTTGTCAAACTGTAGACACTAAGCAAATATCTTTATGAATAAATGTTTCGAAATACTTATCAGAGCGGATTTTTATCCATTTTGTATAGTTGCGGGTCGTCCCCTCTGGAATTATGGGACATGCACGTTAGTTTTTTATCATATTTAAAAAGAATATCAAAATTCATAACTTACAAAGAATATCAAGATTCATAGTTTATAATCTTACAATTTCCAAAAAGTAGCCTACTTGTAAATTTAATTTAAAAAATTAATATTTTTATATTTCTAATAACAAGAAAAACGTATATAATTCAAAAAGTACATGTATATATAAATTTATTGTATTGCACCATTCACATTTATTCAGGTAAAAAACGGATATATACGAAGAATTACAGATGAAGAGATAAAGTCGTTGGCATTGGAAATAGCTGGGACCAATGTGGCTACAACTTATATTTACTGTCCAGCGTATCCGAAGAAGGAGCTGGGTATTAAGCTACCTTTTCTTATCATCATTATCAAGAACATGAAGAAGTATTTCACGTTCGAGATAACAGTAAAGTCAATTTGAATATATACTTAAAAAATAAGCCTTTCAAGTTTCTTTAAACAAGATTTTTTTTATTTAATTCCTTAAAGATATACAGATACTTGTTGTTCATCTTAATAAATAAAAAATTTTTATTTTCTTTCATAAATAAAAGATGATGTGTCTTAAAACTTGTAATTTTTGTTATTTAAATAAATTTTTTATATAATTTTTCCTGGGAAAAAATATTTTATATACAATTATATATAATTCTATATAAAATATGTCCATATATATAACATTTTTTTCCGGGTCGGGAACAATCAAACCTGGAAAGCTACATTCTTCGGTTATAAGAAAATTATTCCTTTTCTCATAATATATATATATATATATCTCATTTTTTTTGTAGATTTACAACATATTGCAATCTCAAAAAATTAATTAAAACAATAATTTGTTAAATAGATATTGGATGACAAGAATATGCATAGGAGATTCCGTGTGAGCAATTTTCAGAGTACGACACGCATTCGCCCGTTTTCCACATCCATGCCCATCGGGCTTTCAGGTGGATGGAATCAGATTCAATTCAATTTGTCTGATTTTACGCGACGAGCCTATGGTACAAATTACATCGAAACCACTAGAATGCAAATTCATGCCAACTGCAGAATCAGACGAGTTTATTTCGCCGATAGGCAAGGATTTAATACATGTATCAATTAATTCTCTAATCAATGATTAAATTTTGTATTTATCATTGATAAAATATGTCATTTTATTTATTTAATTTAACTTAAGCCTTATTAGTAGATATCAGAAATTTCATTAATTTTTTGATATTATGATAGGTCAGTGTAAAATAATTTATTAAATATATAAAATAATCTACAGTCTCTTAATGAGTTTTTTTTTACGAAGTAGTGTCAAATTAAATCTTAAGCAAAAGCAATTTTTAAGGCTTTATTCAGAGGACGAAATGCCGGAAGAGTTTAAGCTTTTCTTGCCGGTACACCGAAGGAAATGCGTTAGAGAGGAACACGTGCCGAAGAAACCTAGTTTGATACTTGAGAAAATACCGTCCGTCGAAGCACCAACTATCGAACCCGAAGTGAAGGAGATACTTGAGTCGCCAATTACGAAGGAACCTGATTTAATCGAGGAAGCGATACCAGATGTGCGTGTGGAAGTAGAAGAGATAATTACAGAGAAAGATGAAGAAGAAAAAGAAAGAGAAGAAAAAGAAAGAGAAGAAAAAGAAAGAGAAGAAAAAGAAAGAGAAAAAAAAGAAAGAGAAGAAAAAGAAGAAGAGGAAGCAAAAGAGGAAGTAGAAGAAGCGGAAGAAGAAGCAGAAGAAGAAGAAGAAGCGGAAGAAGCAGAAGAAGAAGCAGAAGAAGCAGAAGAGAAACCAGAAGAAGAAGAGGAAGTTAAAATTGAAGAAACTGTGGTTGATGAAGAAGAAACAGCCGAACCTGCGGCTGCAGCTATTCGCGAATATGAAGTCGAAAAAGAAGAAAAAGAAGAAGATACATATATATCGAAATTGGAAGGTTACACAGAAGATGAGGATGAAGAAGATGAAAATGAAGAAGATGAACGTGAAGAAGATGAGGAATAAATAAAATATAATTTCAAATAATGAACATGTAAAATAGTTTCAAATAATAAATGCGTGTTTTATATAATCTTCTAATTTATTAGACTTTGTATATTCTTTTCGTATTATTTTAACAAAGAACGGATTATAGAATTATTACAGAATGTTAGAGAATATTAATAATTAAACAGAATAGCACTCAGAACTTAAAATTATGACATATCGTAATCCTCTTCCTCTCGTTTTCTTTTCAATGATTCATCGGTTTCCATTTTCACGGTCGACAATGATTGATTGGAAGTAATCTGTATCTTCGGTTTCGTTACTTGTGTTTTTACCGATGTAGTATTTGTTGCCGCTACAAAAATATTCATATTAACATAGATATTATGAGATTTAATTAAAAAATTTCAGTTATATTTAATTTTAAGGCTTCTTTGTTAATTCACTATTGTTAACTATTATTATCTAAGATTGTGATGTCAGAAGCAAGACAATAAAAATTCTTGTTCAATAAAAATGTATTAATAATGGGTTTCAATAAAAAAACACAATCGATAGAACTTAAAAAATATACTGAAACTCTCCTTTTACTTCATTATAATTAATAAATAACTATATATCTAGAAATGAATTATGCATATATAATCAAAATGAACGAATTCTTTTTACTGTAACAAACTATCAAATTAATAATATACAGAAATAAATATAATTTAATTTCTTCTCAAACAAGATGGTAATTTTTGATACATTCTATAAATCTATTCTATCGATTGGAAATGTTGCTGTATTAAAAGAATATTTCTGTTCAAATGTAATATAATTTTATATATGAAATTTTGTTTTCTCACTCCTGATGTGATCTGAAATAGTATTGGTGAGTAAACAGGAATTTTAAATATGTAACTTTTTTAAATATTATTCAATTCTTTTGCATAATTTTGGGTAAATATTATACGAGTTCTAATAATACCAATTGCAGCTGTTTCAGTATTTTTTTATATTAAAATCTTACTTGCTGGAGTTTTAAAGGAAATACGGAATGGTGTGGAGTAATGGGACTGTAGTAGGTGGAACGAAGCTGACGTTGGAAATAGAAAAAGGACATGATATTTTATATTACAACAATATAATAAAGTAATTACATATATCAGTAAGAAGTTAATATAATTATGAATAATAGAAAGATATTAAGAAATATATTAAGAATAATAGAAAAATATTAAGAAAGAGTTACCTGTGGAAAATTTTAAAACAGGTTTCGGTATAGAAATAGTTTGTGTTCTTGCAACAGTGGCAAGTGTGCCAGGTCTTTTAACAATCGACACACTAGTCTTATTTCCCTCTATTTTTGATCTTGGCTGTCCACCAGATTGATTATTGCCTACCAAAGAGTGTCCAGATTTCTGAACAACCTTCTTCGTCGCATTTTTAAGTCTATAATTCGGTGCATTTAAGCAATATCGATCTGGTGGTAATCTGAGACCATTGTTTGGTTTGACAAAAGGCAGCGGAATATTGTTCTTGGTTCGTGCCACATCCAATAGAACATCTCTGGGCGGTGGATTTGTGAATGAACGTTCCAGCTGCATCTTGACCGCCAATCTAACGTCATCTAGGTCAATGAATTTCTTTTTGGCATGATTGGCATATACTTTGCTGTCATCCAATATACATGTAACATATCCTGTACGAAAATTCAATCAATTAAATAGATTTCAAGAATTAAAATGGTAAAATAGTTAAAAAATATCAATTAAAAATTATCAAAATAAAATTATTACAAAAGAAAGAAAAAACTTACGATATGTAAATTCCAACAGTTGATTGATCACCTTGGGTTCATAATCTGTTATTCCCATGTCTTTCATGATTGACATGATGACTTGAGCATCTTTGGGAATATGTTTGACGTGGCTCATGTTTTTCGTTTTTTCCGACATTTCGTGAAATTGAAATAATCTTCACTGTATACGCTGTAAACAAGCACTTTGTGTACAACACCACAACCAAACACTGAACTACTGAAAGTACTGAAGTGAATCTTTTAGGTTAGGTATATTTAAGCTGCTAAAGCTGGAACCTAAAAATACTTGCATTCTAGAAAGAAAACTGCACTACTGACTGCACTTGGGAAGCAGTGTTCCTACAGTTCTGATTGGCTGCGTTCAGCAGACTCAACAGTTTTGCAACCGTTTTATGAATGGCTGCGTTCAGCAGAGAAAGCAGCTTTGCAACTGTTGTAAAATTCTTCAATATGATTGGTTTATACATTTAGATCTGTCAGGAACCAAAAGCAAGAACCAATCGTATTGAAGAATTTTACAACAGTTGCAAAGCTGCTTAAACGCACCCAATTGATTCGGGTTTTCCACACATGCGCAATGAATCCAGTAGCAGTAAAGAGTATTAATTTTCAACAAAAAAAAGATCTAATAATGGATCCCCTCGTTAAGTTCTCACAAATATTAAAAAATTTTTTAGAAGTCAATTAGAAATATATACATATATAATATTCATATATATATACAGGGTGTCCCGTAAAGACCCGAACAACGCTTAAGGGTGCCGTCACATGCGGCGTAACCTGCGTAAGCGTAACCTGCGTATTCTAGTAATTTACTAGAATACGTTATTTTTTATTTATTAGAAAACGCCATTCTGAAAGCCGGCATTCACAT